TGTTTCGTTCAATCTAGTAGCGCTAACCGGAGGATTGTGGAAGAAAGATTTCAGTTTGAACTGTGTGTGATTGAAATCAGCCGAGCTAAATATTTGAAGACTGTGGAGTCGTTCAGACAAGTAACTAGAATCGGAGGTTTATTCAATACGTTTGAGGCACTTGATTCGACTTGAATCAAGGGAAGATAATCAACTAGTTTCAACCTCTACAATTGGGTTAGATTATTGTAGTACTATGATTTCTCTTGTAGTGAATTTTGCACACAAATTTTATACATATCTCAATTCTATTTTTGGAATTGGGGGCAGACGTACCCTAAGCAAAGACGAAAGGGGAACTGCCTAAACAAATCTGGTGTTGTTCTCTCCTTCTCTATTTATATACTTTTGATTTGTTAGTGTTTATATATAATCAATTGTTCGATTAAAATTCTGGTGTAGTGTAGTGCTGGAAATTATTTTGAAAGCTCATTACAATCATTTTGATTTTAATTGGAAAAATTCTGCACTACAATTACTTAGAGAATATCACTTGGAGTGTTTTGCATACCAAGTGTTTGACAAATTGATCGCACACAAACTATTTGTGTTTTTGTCAAATTGAGTTTAGTTTTTACAAGTTATTGGAAAATGTATAAACTTAAGTGATTCTAATTGTATTGATTAGCTTTCAAAATATTGATTCAATTTCTCATTGGATTCGATATTCCATCTTGGCTTATCGCATATCTGATCTTTTCAGTAATGGTTCGTTTAGACGACCTAGTTCCTCGGGTGCTTTCGCATAAAATTTTAAACCAATTTTTAAGCCCCGACTCTGTTTAGAAATTAGTGATCTATTCAACCCTTGTTCTAGATCATTGTCATCGTCTAACAAGAGATATGGGTCAATTAGCAAATAGATTAAAAAAATCTGAACGTTTGAAAGCTGAAAAGGTCGGATCAAATCGACACCCTAGGAAAGAAAATTTTGCTTACGTAGAGGTAGATAAAAGCAATCAAGAAATGAAATAGTTTTTGAATGTGTCAAAGAAAGTGATGTTAATTTGGAAGAACTAAAGTCAGGTATTCCATATATTTGTAAGGTCCTTATACCTTCTAATGGGAAAAATCATGTCAGACCTAGTAAAAATGAAAAGTTCATTACAAAAACTTATACATTTGATGTAACTAAATGTGATGAATTTTTTTGTCTTTTAGTTGTCGATGGTCAGATCATAGTGCCAAAAGGCCTAAAAACACCACCATTGGAAAAAAGAAAGAAAAGAAGCTTCTACAAGTATCATAATTTTCTTGGTCATAAAACCTCTCAATGTGTCCTTTTCAGGGATCTAGTACAAAACACTCTAAAAGATGAAAGGTTGAAGTTTTAAGACAAAACCAAACTGCTCATGAAGATTAATTCTAACCCTTTTCAGGTCTATGAAGCAAAATTTGCCAAACTTATAGATGACATGTTGGTCGAGATCATAAAGAATCCAGTTCAAAGACATGAGTAAAGAGTATGATGGACTATGTTGAGAAGGTCAAAGTTGTTTATCCAAAGGCTAAAGAGGAGTTGATTAATTTCCTTAATAAATGCCAGGTCAAAAGCTCTGAAGTCATGTTGTGCCCTTATTACATCATTGTCTTCAATAAAGAGGCCACAAAGGACCTCGAGGATTTTAAAACTCAGCCACATAGGAGGATTCATTGGAATGAAATATGACCCTAATATGCCTTTGACAAAAGATGTGCTCCTTAACAAAAAGCACAAGAGCCTGCACACCAATGGAGCACTCAAAAGACTTACGCGTCACCTTTTGTTGCTCATGTTGGTGAATTGGTTTGACTTGTGGGAAAACTCAATGATGACCAACATAAATGGAAGTTAATTAAGGTCGATGCAGGTTCCTCATACAATGAAATTCCATGATCTCCAATAAGTACTCATATGGTTCAAAGAATTGTGTAGGTATGAAAACCTAAAGAATGAGGAACTAGAGTTCATCAAAGTCAACAACACTTGGTCATTTTTCGAATTGTCTTAAGGAAAAAAGGAAATCAATATGAAGTAGGTATACAAGGTAAAGCTGAATCCCAAAGGAGAAGTAAGTTGAAACAAGACAAGACTTGTGGCGAAAGGATTTCTTTAGAAAGAAGGAATCGACTTCGATGAAGTTTTTGCACCTGTTGCTAGGATCAAAATAATCAGGTTGGTTATGGGTCTAACAACCATGAACAACTGACACATATGTAAGATAGATGTGAAATGTGCATTCTTAAATGACCCCTTAGATGAAGAAGTTTATGTTGCACAACTAGCTGGGTTTGTGAAACAAGGCGAAGAAAGCAAGGTATACAAGCTGCATAAAGCCCTGTATGGACTTAAACAAGCTCTAAGATCTTGGAATAAGAAGATAGATGGCTTTCTAAGGGAGAGGAATATGTGAAGTTCACAACTAAGCATGAAGTATATGTAAGAAGAAGCAAGAGTGAATTGTTAATACTATGTCTCTATATCGATGACTTGTTGATAACAGGTAGCTACAAGAAAGAGATTGAAGACTTCAAAGGTGATCTTAGCAAGGAATTTGAAATGTCTGATCTATGTGACATTTCATATTTCCTTGAAATCAAATTATACAAGAGTAGTAGAGATTTGCATCAAATAAGATATGCAAGTGAAATTCTCAAGAGATTTGAGATGCAAGAATGCAACTCGACTTCGACAGCTGCTGAACCAAGACTGGAATTGTGAAAGATTTAGATTCAGATGATGTCGACCCAACCCATTATAAAAGACTTATTGGGTCACTAAGATACCTTTTTCACACAAGGCCTGACTTAGCATATAATGTAGGTATGGTAAGTAGATTCACGTAGAAGTCAAAGGTATCGCACCTAACAGCGATGATGAGGATATTAAGGTATCTGAAAGGAATTCTCGACTATAACATTTTGTTTCCTTCAACTGATAAAGGAAAAGAATGCAAGTTAGTAGGATACACCAACTCAAGTTGGTGTATTGATGATAAGGATAGAAAATCCACAACTGGCTATGTGTTTATGCTAGGTGGTGCAACAATTGCTTGAAGTTCGAGAAATGAGCCAGTAGTTGCATTGTTGTCGTGCGAAGCATAATGCATATTTGCTTCTCTTTATGCATGTCAAGCAAAGTGGATGGTGAACCTAGTCGAAGAGATTACAACGAAGAGTCATTAAATAATTACCACGAAGATCGACAACATGTCTACTATCAATCTGACAAAGAATCCGATAGCACATAGACGAAGCAAGTACATTGAAATGAGGTTCCACTATCTTTGTGAGCAGACAGTAGAAGGGAAGATAAACTTGGAACACTATAGAACTGAGAATCTGATTGCGGATATCATGACGAAGGGAGTCAAGGTCGAAGTGTTTAGAAGACTAAGAGCTATGATGAATATAGATAATATAGACACAATGAATTAGGTGGGGTGTTAAGAATGTGATTCTTTGTATCGAAGCAGATAGTGCTCGACAGAAATAAGGATGTGTTGAAATTAGTCTAGTGTATATGTGTCGAAATATCAAAGCAGGTTGCTCGATCGGATTTCGACTTAGGCCTATTTTAGTAGTGTTAGCTAAATTGGATATTTTGGGTTTTTGTGTTTTGGGCTTTGTTTTAGGGAGCAAGCTAACCTAAAACTATAAATAGAGGGAGTAACCCTTATTCTTGTAATAACTTGAACTCACAGAATTGTGCAGTTGCAAAGTGAGTAAAATTTTCACAGTTTGTCAAACCTTAATTTTATTTCTTTTATAATTTTTCTTTCTTTTCATTGTTAGGGTGTATGGATAATAAAGTTGTTCATCAAGATTGATAGAAATTCCCCATAGGTTGTGGTGGATTTCCAACACTGATGATCCTCATTTCATTAGATCTCACACTCTATAAGACTTAAGAAACGTGCGTGTACACACACACAGACACACACACACACACATGAGAATGATAATTTGTTGGAGGTTGAAAATGAATGTTTTTAGATGAAATTTCTCACAACAATACTTAAGAGCACATGAAATCAAAACAAGAAAAAAAGTTCTTGTTTAAGTTTGATTTGAAAAAGAGCAAATTTAAGTGATTGACAAAACTAAAAAAAATGGTTTTTCAAAATTTGTGAATTGATTACACTAGAGAGAGAGATTTTTTTTATTAAATATGTGTTGAAGCTAATGCACTAAAAATGAGTAAAGTGACCCTAATAATTTGATTCAAGAGCAGATATTTTGGTTAGAGTCAACTGAGTGAATGATTTGAATCAAAAACATAAAACACAAAAATTTTCACCATTGATTCGAGTCAAAGAAATCCTTGATTCGAATCACACAACTAGATAGGAACTCCAAATTGTGGAGCTCCTCCCTGATTTAATTAGGTTTTTGTGTAATTTAAATCAAACTTTTACCTCATTCGAATTAGGAAATGTTGTGATTCGAATTAAACTCATACCTCATTTGAATTAGTAATTTTGTGATTCGAATCACACTCATAATAACAAATTTTAATTTATACCTTCATGTCATGATTCGAGTCGCACATTATTCTAATTCCAAATATATTTACAAAATTTTCTATGAATACATTAGTTTATTACTTTAGGCCATAAAGATTCCAAATATATTTACAAAATTTTCTATGAATACATTAGTTTATTACTTTAGGCCATAAAAAGATTACCCAAACTCCACTGTTAAACATATAAAAATTAAATTAAAATATATATGAAAATTAAACCAATTTAATTAATTTAGATTTATTCTTCAAATTTGTTGGGTGTTGTAGTTGTTTCTGATTGGGCCGGGTAAGCGAAAATAACCTCTCGAGCCCATAAACCGAATCAGATTGTTAATTCTGACACAACCCGTTTAACGTATATAGCACACCATCGTTAAAATGGTTACAGCGATTTCAATTTTAGGGTTTCTTTCGTTTTTCACTATCACTGCATAGTTGCGCTTGGATCAGAGAAATGGGTAAGGATATAAATTTCGATTCAGCAACGACTTTAAGTTGTGAAATTTTTTCAACCTTGATCTTAACGCAATTTTGAATGTGTTGAAGCGAGGATTAAGGTGTACGAGTTGAGGAACAAAACCAAAGCGGATTTGCTGAACCAGCTGAAGGATCTGAAGGCGGAGCTTGCTCTGCTCCGAGTGGCCAAAGTCACTGGCGGCGCACCTAATAAGCTATCCAAAATGTAAACCATATGAAATAGTAATTCGCTTATTTTGATTCGTTGTTATGAATTATTTGGTAATCGCGTTTTGTTAACGTGTTTTTGTTTGTTTGTTTTTTCAGTAAAGTTGTGAGGCTTTCGATAGCACAAGTGCTGACTGTGATTTCACAGAAGCAGAAAGCGGCACTTAGAGAAGTTTACAAGAATAAAAAGTATTTACCACTCGATCTTCGTCCCAAGAAGACCCGTGCCATTCGAAGACGGCTTACCAAACATCAGGTATAATATTACTTGATTTTTAAGAGTTAGTTGAACAATTGCTTTTATCTGAAAATCAATTATAGATTAGTAAACTCCAAATTATAGATTCGAATTGTAATCGATGGAGTCTAAATCAATTATATTTTACTCAAGTGAAACCAAACACTCAATCAATTATTCACTATTTAGTTTCTCATGAAGCATACGCTCGACGATGTAGTTAGGGTTTTAAATAGCACGATTGTTGACAGTGTAGTCCGAAATTGTAGTAAAATGCTGACTCGAAAGGAGTCGTATTGTGGCAGTGGCAATTTTCTGTTTGGTTACCCTTGTAGATTGTCTCAACCATTTTTTTGATTGGTGCAGGTATCTTTGAAGACGGAGCGAGAGAAGAAGAAAGAGATCTATTTTCCAGTAAGAAAGTATGCAATCAAAGCTTAGGCTAGGATTGTTTTCTAGTTGCATTTGTAGACCTGATATTTGAATTATTTGTATCTGTGATCCAAATTTTGTTCTAGTTAATTTTCTGGTTTTTATTATAGTTTCTGTACACAACTAATCTATCTTAAAAATTACCAAGTTTGATGTTAAAATTAGAGTTATTTGAAGAATTTTTACTAGTGTTTTGCATGACATTTGAAGCTGCCATAGAATATAGTTACTAATTGATGACTTATGTGACTATGCAATCTTATTTCACTTTCTTTTATCATAAAATCAACTGTCTCAATTTCATTTATTTGAGCTATTATGCTTTTCACTTTGTCATGATGTTATTATGCTTTCATGTAGGAAAGAAACTATATTATAGGAATTCAGGTTGATTAGACTTGTGTTTTGGACAAGTCTGACGTTAATCTGAAATTTATTGTGGTATTCTAGTTTAAATAATGGCAAAATTACTCTTTAAATTCTTCATTGATAATATTAGTAATGTCTTTAAACCGAGGTGATTATCTATGAGAAAGTTAAAAAAGACGTGCAACATTTAGCTAAAAATTAAAATATACGAGAGGTTAGGGTAATTTTCTAAAACAAAAATATGGTAATTTTTTGGTATTCTTTTACTGTCTTAAATAAAATAATAGTGGATATCTTACAAGTTAGTTTATATCGCATAGATTTATGAAAAATAATTATAAACTAGTTGATAATAGATATTTGTAGATTTAGTTTAATAGTTTATAGTGTTCAATAAAATTATTAATCGAACTAATGTACTGTATCGATTAGGAATGATAAAAAGATATTTTTAATTAAAAATTTAATTAAATTTGCATGGTAAAAACGATAAGCTATAAGTTTGCTTGATTTTTTATTTTTACTTTTTAAATTCATATCCAAACCCACTTATTTGAGAGATTAGTCTCAATGTCTATTAACAAAGGTCAATTGAATCTTAGACTTTGAGAGAACACATTTTTAAGTCTTCATTTAATTTATTTAATTAATTTTAATCTAAAAACAGATTTTAAATTAAAGGTAAGATTTAGAAGTTAAGTTTTCAAATTTAATTTTTAGCCTTGAATTTATCATCAACTTATTTCTTTTATAAATATATTAAAATTGAATTCTTTTACTTTTGACTATTTTTATTCACGATAAATCCATTCAAAATTAATTTTTATGACTGCAAAATAAAACACACAATAAGTGTTGGTTGGATACATGTCTATTCCACTTATGTGTGCGTTTAGAACGATTCATTTATGATTTGGTGTAAAAATAAAATGTTTTTCAATCCATTTTTAAAAATGCAAGAGTTAAGAATATACCGTATATTATATTTAAAATAGATAAATGCTAACAAGTGGTTCAGATACACTATTTAACTGTTTAAAGTGTATTTAATGCATTAGAAATTATTATTTTTTATTTAATATCCTTAAAGAGTATAATGAAAATACTCGTTTGCATGACCTTTAAAATACACTAGTTTAACAATATATTTTATAGATTTAAATATAGAGAATGAATTGAGAAACTCTCTAACATTCAAACCATAACAAATTTGAAGCTAGTGTTTCAAATTTTTTAGGTTAGATTTTGTGTTAGGATCTATTATAAAACTAGTAACAAACTTGTGCACATGTCTGAGATATGTTTATAAATAAAATATGGTTTTTTATGCAAACTTGTTTGAAGATGATAATAAAAATAGGAGAATTTTCTATTATTTAAAATTTGGATCAATAATTTTATTTGTTCTGTTTCATAAAATTTACACGATATGAAAAAAATATTTACTAAAATGTTATTGACTCGCTATATAATTGGCTCAATTATTTCATCTTTTTATATAATTTTCATGATATGAGAAAAATAAATTTTATTGACTCACTATATGATTTGATAAAATAATTGTAATAAAAATAAAAAACAATTTGTTGTTAGTTAATTTATTCTATGTCAAATAACATATATTAAAATTATTCTTTTAAATGAAAATGATTTAAACATTAATTATAAATTTATTTCTTAAATCTTACTTATTCATTAAAATTTTAATATATAAATCAATTTGATAAAATTTAATATAATTAATATATTAGTTACAATTATTTTGATTATTTTTATTACTTTTAAACATTAAGCATATTTTCAATAATGTGTTGATAAGTTCATATATAATAATTTTTAAAATGAAATAAATTAAAAAAAGTTTATACAAATTAAAAAATCATTCTTCTCTATCATTACTTCTAAAATTTACAAATTTTAGAAATAATGAAATTTTTAATCGATTTAAAAAAATGATAGAGGGATATGAGTTGGACACTTAAAATTTCAAAAGGTTGCTAGAGCTTTCATTCATCATGGGTATTTAAAATTAGCTTAGGGTGTGTACTTAATTTAGAGTGTGTATTAAAATTATAATCTTAGTAATATCATTTCTAAAAATATTATTGTCAGAAAATTTATTTCTATCAGTGTGTTTGGAAAATAAATAAAGTTTTTAGAAATATTTTTATGCTTTATTTTAATTAAATTTTAAAAATTAAAAATTAAAAAATGAATGTGCTAAAATAACATGAGAGTGAGAAGTTATGGTTAATTATTTTGTATTTTTATAGGAAGGTAATATTTCCCTCCTTTGACATGAGAAAAAAAATGAAGAAATTAATGAACAAAATATATTTATGAGAATAAAATGTACATGGACATAAATTATTAAAATTTGAAAGAAACAAAGAAATATGTGAATTTCAATGTTTCATTCTCAAGAATATCATTTGCATCCCTGAAACAAACACCCCGTTGATATCGTAAGCGTAATTTAACATGAGCTGTATCATCAATTACAATTAAACCATCATTCTTTTAACAATTTAAAAATAAAAGTTCCAATTTTTTTGTCTAGGTAGAAATTGATAGATATTCTCTTCATTCTATAATTAATAATTCATTTGAAATAAATAAATGTTCTAAATTAAATAATTCTTCAATTTACAATTTATCTTTTTAATTTGACACTTTAATTAATGTTATTTTTATTATTTTCAATATATAATAAAGATTTTTTAATAAAGAATACCACGCTAATTTATAACAATAACATTCAGATGAGTCAACATATTTATATTAATATATTAGATACCTTTTGAGCATAAAAATAATACCTTATGAAGAGAGTGAATATTAAATATTTGGCCCCAAAATGTAAGTAGTGGCTACATATAAAAAGTAAATAGTATATTTAAGTAACTATAACAAAAGTAGGTTCATAGCCATTCCTCATTTACCGTATTTGTATTGTTTATAATTTAAGTTACAAAAACAAAACTCAGCTCAATGTTTGGATAGAATCTGTTTCATTTATGATTGTGACCATTACTTTAAATGATAAAGTAGGACATGTACATTGTAATATCTATAGAATTACATTAGCAGAAATTAGAATTTAAGAATATTAAATAATATTATGCTATTTTCTTTTATTGGTTTTTTATTTAATTGTTTATTTTGACAAATTTTATTAAAATTGTGCTGCATTTAAATCACATTTTTAAAATTGGTACAATAAATTAAATTAGCTTTAAATGTTCTTACTGTGTTAAAAAAATTAAAGTATCTTATTATTTTTAAGAAGATGAGAAAAATATATTTGTTAAAATAAACAATTAAGATATTTTTTATAAGAAATGCGAATATACGAATATTGGTATGGGTATTTAAGTACACATAAGATATATATATATATATATATATATATATATATATATATATATATATATATATATATATATATATATATATATATATATATATATATATATATATATATATATATATATATATATATATATATATATATATATATATATATATATATATATATATATATATATATATATATATATATATATATATATATATATATATATATATATATATATATATATATATATATATATATATATATATATATATATATATATATATATATATACGAATACAAACTTTAATATCCACGCGAGTATGAACTCGGATATAAAATACTATAATATTGTGCTTAAACCTTATTTTCTTTTATTCTATTAATTTTTATAATATTGTGCTCAAATCTTATTTTCTTTTATTCTATTAATTTTTATTTTATTTTAATTAGAGTTATCGCAATATATATTTCGGGAGTGACAACTTTTGAAAGAAATACTATAAAATTTTTAGGGTCTGTTATGAAAATTGGTGTTTTAAAGAGATCTCAAAAAGTACTCAAAAACACATGTTTGATTAGAACACTATTGCCATGTCTTTAGAATTAAAAAAAAGAAAAAGAAAAAGAATAGTCTAGGTAATAGATTATAAAAACCTATTGGCTTGAAATTTTAGGATAAAGTTTGTTAAATATGTTTATAATTATAAGAAAAGTTTCAAAATATGTCTTGTTGAAGTTATTTTCACAAAATATATTTGTTGGAAAATTTACTTGTTAGCATGTCACCAAGTAACTATGGCTAATATTTTAATGATATTCACAGCTTCAGGAACTTGAAAAGGTTTCGTGCTAACTTATTTTAATTGACTAGTTAATTGAATGGAACTTATTTGAAATCACTTATGCTGAAGGTTTCATTTGGATTAATCACTTGTTAAATTCTGATTTTTGTTCTACATTTTAGAAAAATCTAATTAAAGGATTGATCAAAGGAGCTTTAAGGAAAATGTTTTCATTGCTTTAGTAAATAGAAGTTGTTTCTTTCTATAACTATTGGGGAGAGATTGAAAAGAAATAGTATCTTTGTTTTGAAAATAAATTGAGTTTGTATATGTGAAATTGGGAATTTTATAAGCATCTCTTAATTAAATTGGATTTTTGAAAGAAAAAAAATGAAGTTGAGTTAATTTTGATTCTGGTCGAAATATAAAAGGGTATTTATTATTATTATTTTTTAAATTTTTTTTATAATTTATCCTAATAATTGAACTATTAGATTCGC